GAATGTATCAACTCCAGCTGATCTTTACCAAAATGTGGGAGAAAAGTTAAAATTTGGTGAGATTAGATAGTTACTAACTAAATTAATTCTCAATTTCATATCTTACATTCGAAACAATGAACGAGGACTATTAGTTACCAAATTATTAGAAGAATCGGTTGGTGTTATACAGGGAAGATGGCCCTGGCTCTGCCATTTGAACCACTGACAATGTCATTTAAGGATGTGCAGTATTATGTTGATACCCCTCCGGTAATCAAATCATACTTAATATTCACATAAAATTATCATTGGTTGCTGCCTTGGGGAAAACTGATTAGTTTTTATGTTAACTTCATTCCCTCTGCAAAGGAAATGAGAGAGCATGGTTTCAAGCAGAAAAAGCTTCAGTTGCTTAAAGATATTACAGGAGCATTCAGACCTGGAATTCTTACAGCATTGATGGGTGTCAGTGGAGCTGGGAAAACAACTCTCATGGATGTTCTTTCTGGAAGGAAAACAGGAGGTACTATTGAAGGAGATATAAGAATAGGAGGGCACCCCAAGGTCCAGAAGACATTTGCAAGAATATCAGGTTACTGTGAGCAGACTGATATACATTCTCCACATATCACAGTAGGAGAATCAGTTATGTACTCAGCTTGGTTGCGGTTGCCACCTGACACTGATCCAGACACAAAATCTGTAAGATATTCTCTCAACTTATCAACACATGTTCCTTGAGAATTTATTACAATGTATATAGGAAACAATTTGAGTTTGAGTTAGATTTCACAATATAATATATAAAAAATTGTCACAGGGCCATTCCTTGGGTGTAACAGAGTTCAATGCACTGCCCTCATAGTATACTTTTCTTATCTATTTCGCAGAGATTTGTGGAAGAAGTCATTGAAACGATTGAACTGGAGGATATAAAAGATTCTTTAGTTGGGATTCCTGGACAAAGTGGCCTATCCACTGAGCAGCGTAAAAGGCTAACAATTGCAGTGGAGCTTGTTTCCAATCCATCCATAATATTTATGGATGAACCTACGTCAGGTTTAGACGCCAGAGCAGCTGCAATTGTCATGCGCGCAGTGAAGAACGTCGTTGACACAGGAAGGACAACTGTTTGCACGATTCACCAACCAAGCATTGATATCTTTGAGTCTTTTGATGAGGTAGCCTTCAGTCCTAAAATTAGACCAAATGATAGAAGCGTGTAACTAAGGAAGACATTGATTTTTGCAGTTAATTTTGATGAAAACGGGAGGACAGATCATCTATTCTGGAATATTAGGCCATCAATCGAGTAAACTAATCGAATATTTCGAGGTATGCTCATAGTTTCAGCAGTGCATGCATATAGAGTTGCTGTATATTACTAACT